CGCAGCAACTTGTCCGTAACTTTCAACTTGGGAACCACAAAAGCTAGGAAGCTGAAAATTTAGGGGAACGTTCCCTACTCACGTGTGACCCCGCAAATTTAAATCAGCCCTCCCGTACCCGCGGGTAACATGTACGACCCCGTGAAAGTTTTTTGCGGATAAACTAATATCTCGGGAACCACGGAGTCTAGCAGGCTGAAATTTTAGGGAATGACCCCCTGCCCAAGCAACCTTGCCCATTCCAATTCAACCGTCCCGTACTCTTGGGTAACACGTACGGCCTCATGAAAGTTTTTTACGAGTAAATTAGTATCTCGGGGACCACGGTGTTTAGCAGGCTGAAATTTTAGGGTAATGACCCCTGCCCACGCTCAACCTTGCCCATTCCAATTCAGCCTTCCCGTTCCCGCGGGTAACACGTGCGACCCCGCGAAAGTTTTTTACGGGTAAATTAATATCTCGGGAACCACGGAGTCTAACAGGCTGAAATTTTGCGGTAATGACCTCCTGCTCAAGCTCGAACCTGCCTTTTCAAATTCAGCGTTCCCGCTCTTTTGAGTATCACCTACGGCCTCGTGAAAATTTTGGCGGGTAAACTACTAATTCGGGAGTCACGGAAAGATATTCACCATTCAAGACTTCGAATTCAGCTTTCATGCGCTGGTGCGTGAAATTTTTAACTGTTTTTCAATGTTTGAACCATTTCCGCATAGACTAAAGTACAAAGCTGTGAAAATCATTAATAGGCAATCGTTTGGTGGGCTGAATTGCACAAAACGCATACTGGCTAGTCTGGTGCGCGCTGCTATTTATTTTTCATGTTTCCCGGCAAGGTAATGCATGCAGTCTTCTAAATGAATGGGGTAACAAAGTAGGTCGTCAGTAAGACATTAACATTGAACTGATGAGAGGTGAAAGTATTGAATTATTGTAGGCTCACGAAAAGCAGTCAGAGCTTTCAAGAATAATCAATATGCAATAGTTACATGGAAATTTACCCTTGTTAAATCGTTGGATGTGTTTTTTTTCGTGTTTTGTATAGCTGAACAGCTTAAGAAAATTAATTTTCTGTGTTGGGAAGGCTATCAGAGATATTCGATAGTTCATATATGAGATACTAAGGTCATCTGAATTGTTAACGTTAGTGAGATTGGTTATGAATATTGACAAGTATGTTGCAGGCAAGTATCGACAGAAGAGGGTGAACGAAAAGCCAAAGAGCTGAATGTTATGTTCATTGAAACATCTGCAAAAGCTGGTTATAATGTGAAGCAGGTAAGCAAGAAACAACATTTTTCAGCTTTAAAAAAATGGGTTTTTTGGCTTTTTTGGCTGAAAAATGGCTTTTTTTGGCTAAAAAATGGCTTTTTTTTTGAATAGCAATTTTATTTTTCAGCTTTTTCGGCGCATTGCTGGAGCACTACCAGGTATCGAGCCTGATCAGAGGGACAAACATGACAGTATGTTTTCCAATTCTGTTTATTTTTTTCACCTTATTCCATTCACGAAGTAATGAATGCGTATTTTGCGACTTCAGTCAGATAATATAGTTCTAAAATAGCAAATTTTAACACCGTTAAATGTGGCTACTATCTGTTTTTATATCTGTTTTAACGGGAATTTGATTCAATTTGCTTATAGGGTAAAAAGTTCCCCGAAAGAAAATGAGCATTTGTAGAATAATAATTCTTTTTTTTTTGGTTTTCTCGGAAGAAGCAACATTTTGCTTTCGCATCAAAATTGTTCCCTATAATACATTGCATCGATTTGCCCAATGCTATTTCCGGGTGTACTTCATCATCTTTATTTTAATGCCATTTACAAATAAACACTTATAATTTCACCGCAATTGAGCTAATGGAGTAACTTATCTTTCGTAATTCTCTCTCCCCCACCTCTTCCCTCCGTTCCTCCCAAATGGTGGTTAGCCTTTTAATGATCCTCGCGCCTTCATCCCTGTTTTATTTGTTCGTCCTTTAAAAAAAAAAAAAAACAAAGAAAGGAAGCTAAAATTACATTCCCTTCACCGCATGATATTACGCTTTCGTCAATCTATCTTTCTCTTTACCATCGGCGACTTCAGCCAGTCAAAAAGTGCTCGGAATTAATCATCTAGGATATTACAGACCAGCAAACTACAGTTGAAAACAGTACAACGATAAAAAAAAAAGTTATCGAGACCTCCTGAATAATCCATATGGGGATCCACTATTAATTACGTTGCTAAAATACTCCTACAGACGGATGGCAGCTCTGCCAGGTCCTTTGGCCCTGAATCGTAGGCAGTTCCAGGGCGGTCTCCTGGGGGGCAAGGAGGGGAGGGGACGCCGCTACTTTGGTAGCCCGCTCCCCTCCCTCCTTTTCCCGGACATTGCTCCTAGTGATAGCGATCGGTAGGAAAGAGAAAGTGGGGATCCTCGGGAGGAAGGGAGAGGGAGGGGGGGAGGGGGGAAGGGAAGCGGGGAGCTATCGAAGAGAATTTTCTTCGATTTTAGCACTGCTACTTGTGCCATTGAAGGGGCGAAAAGTCCATCCCCCCAGCCCCTCCTTCTGGAAATGGCTGGAGGAACCTCCAAAATACTTGTTTGATGTGTATGTCCGGTCCTCTCTGTGGAGGCTGCCCAAGTGGTCGTTTATTTCCTCGCAGTTAACAGTCACAGTTAACGTTTGATTTTTTGGGGTTATAGGAATTGCCTGCTTTGAACTCTGATTAAATAATGAGTAAGTAGCTGGGGTGGATGTTACTGAAGTAGAAGAATAGAAGAATTTCACTTGAATGTTATGTGTTTGAAGACATTTTATGACGCAGTCTGTGAAATTGCCAAGCTAAACCAATTAAGCATGGAGATAAAAGTAACGTGGTGATGGTGCTACTGCTGCTGCTGCTACTGCTACACGTTCTGTTTTATTTGTAGTGCAAGAAGTGAAATTAAGCGATGCGCCCATTCGACAGGTGCAAATGCAAGAATCTGGTTGCTGGTGTTGAGCAGGAGAGGAGAGGAGACTTCTCTTCAATTCCTTCTCTATCTGGGCTTCTTCAATAATCCAAACGTCATTATCCGTTATCATCATCAGTTGCCAGCAGTCTCTCGTGTGCTCTCCTGTTACTGCTGCTGTTCATAATAATATTTTTTTGCATGTGCTCTGTGAAGCCATCTCTCCTGTTTTCGCAAAAACGATATTTGCTATTATTGTCACTTGAAATTTTTAACTTATTTTTTTACCTGTTTCCTTGTTTCATCCAAAAAAAAAAAAAAAAAAACCAGTCAGCCCATGCATGATTCGTGTTACCCTGCTTTTGTGCGCTTCATGTAATATTCTGTGAAATCAGCAATAATTGTTTATGAGTGGTGGTGGAGGATTATGAATAATTCTTAAGAATTTATTTACTGAGGGCAGAAGCAGTTGCAGCATATGATGCGACGATTGATTTGACATGCGGCTTATGTTTACTGCTTATTTATGCGTAAATCCCCGGTAAAATCCCACTAGGATTTTACAACTGGATTTTTGCATATTCACAAGTTTGTGCTCATAGTGGATGATATAAAAAATATTAGGATAGAAGACCTAGGAAACAGAAGCCACATATATCTATGGTGGGCATATGTAGAAAAGCAGCCTATGTTTCATTCCTTAGCTGTAAACACAGACAGAGCTCTGCGTAGAGGGGGTAGGAGCGGCAATCAGCAGTACAGTCCTCTACTGGCTGTGTTTTGATTGTACATATAACTGAGTTACAAGACAATGTTATGAGTGGAGTAAAGAAGAAGAATGATTTTGATGAAAGAAGTAGAAGAGGAAAGAAAGGACAAAACTGAACTGAAGTTTCGAAATATCCCCTATCAGTGAGGCTTATTCTCCACCATCAAGTGCGAATCAAAAACAGTATTTTATAAAAAAAGGACGAGAGGGTAAGGGGGAAGAAGCTAACAGATATAAAGCTCCCATTGTAAACACACGTGAATTGATATCCACAAACTATTTTTGCTGTCAAAAATCACAGATGCGCATATACAAGCAGTAGGTTTGGTGTTTGGGTTTGTTTTATGGGGAAATTTATGTAAAAAAATTTTGTGAAAATGTAAAAAGCCTAAGCGTGATGGAATGGATCATTGGATATTGTTTTGTCTAGTCGAGCATTATTTTGCATGTTATCTTGGCTTACTGTTGTCCTTTTGCTTTTTCGGTTCTTTCACAGTCTCTTTTCGCTACTGGGATATCCTAGACTAACCGCTGTTGTAATTCTTTTTCCTGGATTTCCTGGGATTTTTTTTGTGCGGTGGCTTTTTACCGGTCCCATTTTGATAATGCTCACTAGGATCAATGAAAAACGCGCATTAGAATTCAGCTTAGAGAGAGAAAAGAAGGGAAATTTTGCTCCCATTCCTATATTTTGCCGTCTTTCTTGTGTTGCTGTGAAATGCTCCTGGAACAATTCGGTAAATCCAGTTTCGAGGACTGGATTAATAAATGGTACATTGGTATGCAATCGTTTTCGTTTTCTCCAGCCTTATAAAGAAATACAAAAAAATATTAGTTGGTCTGTGTACTTTTAAATAAATTTAAAAAAAAGGCTCAAAATAGACTGAAATGACTCACATTTGACTGCTTTGAGCATACTGATGAAGCACCCGGGCTGTGATCATTTTAAAGCCCTCGGTACGACCAGGTGCAGCTAAAAAGAGGTTTTCACTGGTGGGATATACCGTTGTTATTGGTCCGTTGTATTTCTGGGATAATTTTAGAAGACAGGAGAAAAGAATGTTGGGTCAGAATTAGCTAAGTACCAAGTAGGAGGAGATTATTATGTAAAAAATTCGAAAAATTTTCTATAATTACAGTAGAGATGAAGAAAAAGCTGGAAAAACAAATTTTAGTCGGCTGAGCCGTATACATTATTCCTCTGGAGGAGCAGCATCCCAACTGGAATATCGGATTTCATTTTTATCACATATTGTTTGAGATACGAATAGCTTAAGGCTAAACAAACTGGATGTGCAATATCCAGCCACAAAAGCCGGCGGGTGGGCGGGTAAGTGCGATGCGGTTCAGGTAGTTTTGTTCGAAGAGCGAAAAAAAACAGAAAAGCGGATGCTAGGGCATTGCCAACATGGTGATCACTGGTGCATGGTGATAGCCAACCAGAGAGAAGGGCTGCTAGATAATTTGTTGGTGCGAAAGTACGAATATTGCTTTGGATTTCAGCTTCTCTCGCAGACTACCTAAATCTACGGGTGGTAAGGATTGCCTGACCGTCATTTAGCACAGTGGTCATCAAGATAATGCCATTTCTTGCAATTCTCCCATGGTTAAGTCATGGTGCCGTGTGATGAGTTCTAATTCGAGTTGGATTTGGGATGCTTAGATTCATGTCCGTCTCCACAACAATGCATTTGGCAGTTT